GCCCGTTACCTGGAATAAGGTGCAGCACCAGAGGCTCGGCAGGAGTGTTAGGGTGGCGGGCCTGGGACTGCCCCTCTGAGAGGCTTCTTCACACGCTTGGCCCTGCTGGCATCCGGAACCTGGATTTCAGGAGGGCTTTTGCCATCCTCAGAACCCCTAAGAGGGCCCACTGCGCCTAAACTGTTTGTACAAACACGTGGTTTACGCTAAGCACTCCTTTTCCTTTGTGAGTCTGGAATGTTGGCATGTGTCCGGCAGAGGCTGCCTGTGTGACCAGCCCCCAGGAAAACCCAGGGTGGGGTCTCTAATGAGCTCCCCTGGTGGACGACATATGACATGTGGCATCACAGTTCAAAGCTGAGGGAATGGAGGGCGCCCCATGTGACCCCACTGGGCAGGGACCCTGGACGCTTGTACTTGGTCCCCCCGGTACTATGGCCGCTGTCCCTCTTCCCTCTGCTGATCTTGTTCTGGCTGCTTTCCCTGTAACACAGCAGAGCTGTGAGCACCACTGATGGCGAACAGAGTCCTAGGGAGCCGCCCAACCGGGGGAGCCGGGGGCTTCTGACAGAGGCGTGAGCCGCCCGGCAGGAGCACTAGCCAGAGGGACGCCACCCTGGGGCTGGGCAGGGTCGTGGGGCTCCCCACTGGGCCCGCCATCCGTCAGGCACTCCTGGGCCGTGGAGAGGCCGGCGGTCCGCAGCGCCGCCAGGAGGAGGCGCAGGGCAGCAGCCGTTCACTGACCAGGACAGAAGCCTCACCCAGAAATAGGCTGTGGAGTCCCACAACAGTGGGCCTAGTGGAAAGAAAGCTGTAAACCCAAGAGGAGTCAGGTGGGGGATGAAGAAACATGGGCAGCAGTCCCAAAGAAATGAGGCCGCCAGCATATGTGGAAGACCCCAACCCTGACACCTCTGGGAACCTCTGCTCCCTGTGCACCCCCTCCCAGAAACACATGGTCACCACAGCTCCTTGTCTGCTCTGCCCCCTGGTGCCTGCCTCATGCTGGGCACCTTGCTGTCCTTACCTCCCAACGCAGCACTGGGGTTGGAGAAGGGCTCTTGGACCCACCTCACAGTGAGAAAACCAAGGCTCTCAGGGGGGAAGTGAGTTGCTCATGGCCGCACGCGCATCTAGGCCTGACACCCAGGACACTCAGGCCCCAGAGCCAGGCATCTCCTGCAGCAGGCGGCTGCCCTGTGGGTTGCCTGCCTGGAACCGGCTCCGCAGGCATCACCTCATACGTCAGGTTCTGCTGTACCCCGCGTAGGCCCCACGACAGATCGAGCTGCTCGCTGAAGTCAGCTGGGCTCTGCATTAAAGCCCCACCAGCTCTGAGGGTGCCCAGGCCCCAGGTTTCCTGGAGCTGACAGGGAGGAGGACAGAGTATGTGGCTCAGGGCCAGCCAGGGGCCTAGAGTTAGGGTCTGTGCTGGCTCTGCAGTCCAGCCAGTGTGTACCTGCCCCAGGGAGGCAGCCAGGCAGCCCCCACAGAAGGTGCTGTGCACCGAGGAACAAAAAGGCTTCCGACAATATGGGAGAATATGTTCGTAAATGATTTATCCCATAAGGGTCAATATCCAAAATACACGAAGAGCTTACTAGCCTCAACACCCAAAGGACAAATAACCCAATGAAAAAATGGGTGGAGGATCTGAACAAACACTCCTCCAACGAAATGCTGATGGCCAAAAAGCGCATGAAAATATGCTCCACATCACTAATCATCAGGGAAATGCAAATTAAAACCACAATGAGATATCACCTCACACCAGTAAGGATGGCCACCATCAAAAAGTCTAAGAACAACAAATGCTGCTGAGGATGCGGAGAAAGGGGAACCCTCCTACACTGCTGGTGGGAATATGAGCTAGTTCAACCATTGAGGAAAGCAATCTGGAGCTTCCTCAGAAAACTAAAAATAGAAATACCATTTGACCTGGGAATCCCACTCCTTGGAATTTACCCAAAGAACACAACTTCTCAGATTCAAAAAGACATATGCACTCATATGTTTATTGCAGCACTTTTTACAGTAGCCAAGGTGTGGAAGCAACCTCAGTGTCCATCAGTAGGTGAATGAATAAAGAAGATGTGGTACATATACAGAATGGAAAACTATTCAGCCATAAGAAAGAAACAAATCTTGCCATTTGGAACAAGGTGGACAGAGCTGTAGGACGTTATGCTCAGTGAAATAAACCCGGCGTAGAAAGACAAATGCCAAATGATCTCCCTCATTTGTGGAGTATAGCAGTGGAGCAATATACTGAAGGAACAAAACAGCAGCAGACTCAGTGACTCCAGGAATGAACTAGTGGTTACCAAAGGGGAGGGGTGTTGGGAGGACGGGTGGGGAGGGAGGAAGAAGAGGATTGAGGGCTATTATGTTTAGTACACATGGCGTGGGGTATCACGAGAAGAACAGTGTAGCACAGAAAAGGCACGTAGTGGATCTGTGGCATCTTACTACACTGATGGACAGTGACTACTTCGGGGTATGGGTGGGGACTTGATAATATGGGTACATGTAGTAACCACATTGTTTGTTCATGTGAAACCTTCGTAAGACTGTATATCAACCATACCTTAATAAAAATAAATTAAGAAAGAAAAAGACAATGTGGGCTGTAGCCCGTCGGTGGGGCTTGCCACTGACCTTTGAAGAAGTCAGCAGAGCCCAGAAGGAGTGCCTGTGGGATGATGATGGGGATTATGTTCAATCTACAGCCTAGTTACAGCAAGAAGCGTCATCCAACTGAATCTTCGAATACGTGAACACGTCACCTCTCTTCATTTATTCAAGTCTTCCTTAGTTTTTCTCAGTAATGTTTTTTTATTTTTTATTAAGGTATCATTGATATTCAGTTATGAAGGATTCACATGAGCACCATGGTGGTCACTAGATTCACCCATATTACCAAGTGCCCCCATCCTCCATTGCAGTCACTGTCCGTCACTGTAGTAAGATGCTGTGGAGTCACTATTTGTCTTCTCTGTGCCGTACTGCCCTCCCCGTGACCCCCCTCCATTATGTGTGCTAGTCATAATGCCCTTTAATTCCCTTCCGCCTCTCTCCCAACACACCCTTTCTCAGTATGTTTTATCATTTTCACTGAAGTTTGCCAGCGGTCCCGTCCGCATCCCGTACACCTGAGGGAACGTTTCCCTCCGTGCTGGATGCAGCGTCCTCTCCATAGCAACAAGGTTCGCGCCGTAGAGCGAGCGGCTCTAGGTCTGAGGAACGTGGTGTCGTCAAGCCGCGAGTGTCGTAAACCAGGTGCGGTGCGGAGAGGCGCAGGACGTGGCTGGAGCACTGGGACGGCCGCAGGAGGAGCAGACGGACTTTTCCAGGTGTGGGCGCGGAAAGCCAACGAGCCGGCGGTGCAGCAACGGTGAGTAGCGGAGGGGACCGGGGAGCGGCGGAGTCAGCGGGAGCCGGGCGGCCGGGGCGGCCGGAGCAGGGCCGGCCAAGTGGATGGGAGCGCTCTCTGCCCGCCTCCGCTGCCGCAGCTGTCGGAGCCGCGCCGCGGCCGCTCCGCTCTCCCTGAGCCGTCGCGTCTCTCCCCTGGTCTGTCTCCGGCTGGCCGCTCCTGCCGCCGCTGCCGCCCCCCGGGAAGGTCCGCCGCCGCCGCCTCCCCGGCGCTGGGCGGGCGGCCGGGACGCGGCCGGCCAGTTTTCTGGTCCGGGCGGAGCGGGTTTTGCCCACTCTTCAGCCCCTCGCCGGGCCGGGCCGTGCTGCGTGCTGCAGGTCGGCGGCCGCGGGTGCCGGCGGAGCGCGCCACGGGCGGACCGGGCTGGGCCGGCGGCGATGAGGGTGCGACCGGCCGGCGAGGCGCGCCCGCGGAATGGGGGGCGGCGGGACAGAGGCGCGGGGCCCTCAGCAGCCCCGCTCCCAGGGTCTCGGCTGGCCCGCGGCGAGGCGAGCCCCGGGAGTGCGGTCCACGTTCCGTGGGGAGCTGGCGCGGCGGCCGGGGACTCCCGGCGCGAGCGGGCACCTACCTGCCGCCGTGGGAGACCTGGAGCTGGCGGCGAGCTGGGCGGCAGGTGCCTTTGCGGAGTTGTTACCCGGTCTCAGGGACGGGGAGGCACCCCAGACAGATCCCCTCGCCCGGGAGAGCTGCTTTTCCGCGCCGGGATGGGGCTCTGCGTGGACGCCCTTTTTCTCTTTGGTGTTTTGGGGGAAGTTGTTATCCGACCGGAGTCGCGGGGTCGCAGCACCCGGGTAATGGAGCTTGGATGGCGCGCTGGGTCTGAGGTGGCTGGCGGGTGGGGGAGGGGGCGGACGGACCGAGGGTCGCGCGCGTCCGCTGCCGGCGCTGCAGTTGCAGTGTTTATTGATTTGTGTGAGTTGCTTGCATGTCTGCTTATGTCGGGGGCGATACGGTGCTGTTCTCTATCTCTTGTTCAGTGAGTAGTGAGATGTCTGCTGATTGCTGTTGTCTGGAGAGGTCCTGTGGCGAGAGGAGGGAGAGTTGTCCGCCCGGGGGCGGGGGGCTCTGGCGCGGGCCCCCGCCCGGAGACCGGGTACCTGTTTGTACAGTAATGGGCGGCAACGACCCTGCCGCCGGCTGCAGCCCAGGCTGTGTTAGGAATTTCGTGTAGGCTTTCGACCAAATGGCTCCCTTTGGCTCCTGCGTTATTTTTATTTATTTCTTTTTCATTTTGGTATCATGAATATACACTTACATGAGCAGCATTGTGGTTACTAGATTGTCCCCATTATCAAGTCCCCACCACATACCCCGTTACCGTCACGGTTCTGCGTTATTTTTTAAACGAGTTTTTAGGACTGGGGCAATAAAGGTGCCTATGTTGGTGGGATTGCTGTACTTGCCAGTAAAATGAGGAAATGTGTGTTTGAGTGCCAACTCTCTGCCGCTTCCCAGGCTCCCTGGCTCCCTTTCTCCCTCCCCTCCTGGATGCGAAACTCGAGTTTCTGTAACCGTTCCTGGCAGTTTTAGATTTTGTGTGGGATTTCCTCTCTAGAAGCATATACCAAGATTTTAACTGGTTCATGATGTTTCCTTCCAATTGTAAACACTTACAATATATTGGGCTGACACTGAAATCACCGCTCTCATGAATTACTTTTAGTTATTCGAGTAAATGTTCGCTTTTTAAGTTATTTATTTATTTTTTCTTTTGTATCATTAATATACACTAACATGAGTAACATTGTGGTTACTAAATTTCCCCCTGTTATCAAGTCCCCACCACATACCCCATTACAGTCACTGTCTATCAGCATAGTAAGATGCTCTAGAAACACTACTTGTCTTCTCTGTGCTATACTGCCTTCCTTGTGCCTACCCCCACAACCCCCTACATTATGTGTGCTAATCGTAATGCCCACTTTTCCCCTTATCCCTCGCTTCCCACCCATCCTCCCCACTCCCTTACCTTTGGTAACTGTTAGTGCATTCTTAGGTTCTGTGATTCAGGGTTTTTTTGTTCTTATGCTCGACATATGAGTGAAAGCATTTGGTACTTGTCTTTCTCCGCATGGCTTATTTCACTGAGCATAATACCCTCTAGCTCCATCCATGTTGTTGCAAATGGTAGGATTTCTTTTCTCCTTAAGGCTGACTAATACTACATTGTATGTATGTACCACATCTTCTTTATCCATTCATCTACTAATGGACGTTTGAGGTTGCTTCCATATCTTGGCTATTGTAAATAGTGCTGTGATAAACAAAGGGGTACATATGTCTTTTTGGGTCTGCGATTCTGTTTTGTTAGGATAAGTTCCTAAGAGTGGAATTCCTGGGTCAACTTGTATTTCTATTTTGCGTTTTTTCCTGAGTGGACGTGGTCCTGAACATTTCAACACATGTATCAGCGATAACTGGCCCGTCTGGCACCTTGGGAAAAAGGCTTGCAAGCTGGCCTCCTGTGTGTCCCTGGAGGAATAGCAGAGTTGGCCTCCAGAGATCACGGTAGTGTACCCCAATCGTCCGGGACGTAGGAGCATCTTATGGGGAAGTTTAGTTTTATCTTTATGGCCAGTGCATGTGCCTCCAGTAGCCCTATCTGCTGACCCATCTGTAACTCGCACAGGGAGGGGGGTGAAAGTCTGGTATACTAGACCAGGACGAGATCCCATTCCTGCCACTGTCCAGTCACAGGACCGCTCTCTTGCATGCATTCTACCTGATGGACAAGATTTGCCTATGCTGCTGCCATTAAAGTAGGTATCTTATCGCCCTTAAAGGTATTTTCTTCTACAGTCCTTGTGGCCTGGTAAGCGCCCCCCTGGCTGCAGCTTCCCTGTCATGTCTTGTGTGTACCTCCTACCCATTCAGCTGCTGACTGCCTGGGGAACAGGCCAGCTATGGACTTAATGTGCGTAGGAGTTTGCACCTAGCTGAATCCTCGGCTTGAGGATTGTCATGATTTTATGTTAATAGTCTGGTTATGGTGCTCCAGTTTTGTCGCACAGGGTCCGTTGCGGAAGATGGGACACGAGGAGGTTGTGAGTCAGAATTTCTGAAGGATTGGGCTGTTGGTAAAATTGCCATATTTCCAGAATCCCTCACCTGGCCTTAGTGCATCTCCATATCAATAGGTGTTCCCAAGGGGTGGAGAGTAGAAGTAGCCCATCTCCATATTGATAGGTAATCATTTATTTATTTATTTATTTATTTATTTAATTTGGTATCACTAATCTATAATTACATGAGCAACATTGTGATTCCTAGACTCCTGTAACCATCAACTCCCCACCATTACAGTCACAGTCACTGTCCTTCAGCGTATCAAGGTGCTACAGAATCACTGCTTGTCTTCTCTGTGTTGTACAGCCCTCCATGTGCTCCCCCCTACATTATGTCTGGAAATCGTAGTGCCCCTTTTCCCCACTTGTCCCCACCTTCCTACCCATCCTCCCCAGTCCCTTTCCCTTTGGAAACTCTTAGTTCATTCTTGGGATCTTTGACTCTACTGTTATTTTGTTCCTTCAGTTTTTTTCTTTGTTCTGATACTCCACATATGAGTGAAATCATTTGATACTTGTCTTTATCTGCCTGGCTTATTTCACTTAGCATAATACCCTCTAGCCCCATCCATGTTGTTACAAATGGTAGGATTTGTTTTCTTCTTATGGCTGACTAATATGCCATTGTATGTATATACCACATCTTCTTTATCCATTCATCTACTGACAGACACTTAGGTTACTTCCATTTCTTGTCTATTGTAAGTAGTGCTGCAATAAACATAGGGGTGCATATGTCTTTTTCAAACTGGGCTGCTGTATTCTTTGTGTAAATTCCTAGGAGTGGAATGCCTAGACCAAATGGCATTTCTATGTTGATTTTTTTGAGGAACCTCCATAATGCTTTCCACAATGGTTGAACTAATTTACATTCCCCCAGCAGTGTAGGAGGGTTCTCCTTTCTCCACATCCTCGCCAGCATGTATTGTTGTTTGTCTTTTGGATGGTGGCCATCCTGACTGGTGTGAGGTGATATCTCATTGTGGTTTAAATTTGCATTTCTCTAATGATTAGCGATGTGGAGCATCATTTCATGTGCCTGTTGGCCATCTGCATTTCTTCTTTGGAGAAGTGTGTGTTCAGATCCTCTGCCTATTTTTTTAGTCGGGTTATTTGCCTTTTGTTTGTTGAGGTGCTTGAGCTCTTTATATTTTGGCTGTCAACCCTTTATGATATATGTCATTTGTGAATATATTCTCCCATACTGTAGAGATGCCTTTTTCTTCCACTGATGGTATACTTTACTGTACAGAAGCTTTTGACTTGAATAGAGGCCCACTTGTTCATCTTTGCTTTTGTTTCCCTTGTCTGAGGAGGCATGTTCATGAAAAAGTCCATGATTTACTTCTAAGAGTTTTATTGTTTCATGACTTACATTCAGGTCTTTGATCCATTTCGAGTGTACTTTTTTGCATGGTGTTAGACCTTAATCCCATTTCATTCTCTCTCTCACATGTAGCTGTCCAGTTTTGCCAACACCAGCTGCTGAAGAGGCTGTCATTTCCCCATTGTATGTCCGTCCGTCGTTCCTTTTTCATATATTAATTGGCCATGTATGTGTGGGTTATATCTGCATCCTCTATTCTGTTCCTTTGATCTACAGGTCTGTTCTTGTACCAGTACCAAATTGTCTTGATTACTGTGACTGTGTAGTAGAACTTTAAGTTGGGGAGCGTAATCCCCCCTCTTCCCCTGCTTTATTCTTCCTTCTTAGGATTGCTTTGGCTGTTCGGGGTCTTTTGTGGTTCCATATGACTCTTAGAGCTATTTGTTCCAGTTTGTTGAACAATGCTATAGGTATTTTGATAGGGTGGTTTAGGGACCTGGTTTGTATGTCAAGTTCTTGGGGGTTGTCTGGTCAGGTAAAACTTCAGTTATCCCAGACGTGGTCATAGACAAGGACCAGGCCTTCCCCACCCCTACCACTGTGGCCATCCATCGTACAAGAGTTTTGGGGTGTTTTGGGTTCCTGGAGGGTGTTTATCCCACACTTTGCACAAATTCTGAAGGCCTCATACCAGTCGGTGCAAAAGGGCATCAGGTGGGACCGTGATGAGACCTGTGCAGCTGTGCTCACTGCTACTAAGCAAACAGTCAAGGCCGTTATAGTCCTTGAGTGTAATGGATTCATGAAGGCCCTGTGAGCTAGGTGTTCATGTAAATGGAGATGGTTATGGATGGGGCCTTTGGCAGAGGCTTGAGTGGACATGCCAACCTGTTGGATTCTGGTCACAATTATGGAAAGGAGCAGAGGTCTGGTAGCCATTAATAGAGGAGCAACTGGTTTCTGTCATAGCCCATCACCAGAACAGCTCCAACCAAGGTAATAACCACCTATCACATCGAGGGATGGGTGTGAGACTGGACCCAAAGCCAGGGAGTGGCATGGCACGGACACCTCCACTGGCCAAATGGGAGCGCAAACTTGCCGCAGCATAGCACCCTCTCCGATATCCCCTTGATATTTGTTCCTGTGTTTTAACTGGTGTTAGGCTTGTCTGTCTCCACAGACAACAGTATAGAAACAGCTCTGTTATAATCCTATCCTTGGTATACCAAAGTGAACAGTATGTGTGGAGTAAAAAAGAAAATAGATACAAGGTCGGAGTCCCACACCTCTCCCTCCGCCCTCCCAGAGGACTGATTGTTGACGGCCGGCCACTGACAGCAATACTCACAGAGCTATGAAGAAGTGAATTCGTTGGTACTGCCAGGAGGGGAGGCCAGCCTGGCTGAAATATGCTATGATCATGGCCAGGAGATACTGAGGAAGAGGAGAACACCACAGGAGAGTGGTCACATCCCAGAAGAGGAAGGACGGAGGGGTGGGGGGGGCAGGCTGGGGGCAGACCCCACCCGTGTGGGGAGAGGGACTTTAGGACGCTCGTGGATGGCAGGCTTTGCTGGTGGGACGCCGGGTATTTAGGACAGCCGCCATCAGAAGGGTCTTTGATAAGCTGGCACAAAGGGGAGTCCCCAGGGCTGAGGCGAGAAGGGACTTGTGGTGGCAGCCAAAGGGGCGGAACCCAGAGGAGTGGGGGTGGGGGCAGGGCTGCCCCTTCACATGCAAGGTGCCTCCAGGCCCCGCAAAGGGCAGTGTGGACAAAGTTACCTTGTCAGATAGCCTCAGATTTTTGTCCCAGGCCAGTAATCTTTTTGCAACAGGGTCCCGTGGGAAGAGAGGTACAGGTTAGATGGACAGCCGGAACAGGGCTGAGCAGAGAGCAGCCATGCCTCCTGAAGGGACCTTTCGGGGTGGGGAGGCCGAGGTGCACTCCTTGGGCCAGAAAGATGGTGCCACCCTTCTTGGGTGGTTGGCTGGGGGGGGGACAGGTGTCAGTAGGTGATGTGCACAGGTCTGTTCCTACAGAAGGTGGTGTCGTCACCGTGTAGGAAGGCATCGTCGTCTCCCTTGACGGTCACATCAGCGCGCCCAATGGCCTGTCAGCACCCCGCAGGCTGATGGAGGCATTTAGATTTGAAAGCCTCAGGGGTGCAGTGGAAGCCGAGCTTTCGTGTTCCAAGTGCAGACTGCTTCTGCCTCTGGACTAATCCTGCCTCATTTCCTAGTGTCCCCGGAGGAGTCCTCTGGGAACAGAGAGGTCACCAACTGACAGGGAATTCTTTTCCATTGGAAAAGTCTAGTCGCTGGAAGTTTCTCTAAAGGGGAATGGGCTCAGGATTCCCCCTACCAAGCAGCCTTTTGAAGGCCTCGTTGTGCTCGGGCAGCACCGGGGACACCCACCGTCGCTTCAGTCTCATCTTGAGGCCGCACAGCATCTCCAGGTCTCAGGCGTCCTCCTTGCCTGGGGCTGCCTCCTCCGACTCCTCCTGGAGAGCGGACGACCTCTCCTGCTTCCCGCGCTGGTCGGAGCCCTCTGGCAGAGGGCTGCTGTGTGCCTGGGCTGCTGGGCAAAGAAACTAGGTGACAGCGTTCAGCTGTCGTCTTTTCGATTCATCCCTCGGTCCACGTGTCCCCTCCCACTCCACTCCAACTACCCCCAAAAGACAAGCTACCCCCAGTGTCTCTGCTGTTGCAGACCGTGGCCTTCTCCCCAGCCATCTCTCCATCCTTCTCCTTTGCTGGCAGCCATCTGCCCCCATTCACCTTACGATTGTTCCATCTCCCCACTCTCAACACCCTTCCTCATTTAGATAATTCCTCCAGGTGCCCTTCCCTGTGTGTGTCCTTGTCCCCACACCTACACCCTCGTCCTCCAGTCCCTGGCCTTCTCAGTGTCTCCCTCCTTCACACAAGCCCCACCTGGGTAGGCCTTCCTGCCGTCGGCTCCCCGTCCTCAAGCCCCTCGTCCGTTCGCTGCCTCACCTGGCGGTCCTGGTCTCTGTGCGTCCAGCATCACATCCGGCTGGTGCCCGGAGGGGCCAGGGTGGGGCCTCTGGCTCACAGCCTGGGAACTCGATGGAACACTGGCCATGATTTCTCCCTAAGTCTTGCCCTCTCCGGGACCAGACCCTGTGCAAACTCCTCTTGTGGATTCTCACTGAATGTGAGCCCGTTATCCCTACTCCAGGCTGAGGAGATGCTAGGAGTGGAGAAAGCTCTTAGAAGATGCTACTGGCTACCTGTGCTGCCAAGCACTTGCCACCCAGGAGGGCTGGAATCCTTTTGAGGTCATAGGTTGCTGCAACCTAGTAACCAGTTTGAAGGAAAAACAGGCAACTGTCAGTTCAATCCAAACACGGGCAAACAATGTCTCCTGCCACTGACCCAAGTTCTGACCACCCCCCAAGATGATCCTCGAGCCGTTCAGGTCACCTTTCAGCCCTCCCCCACAGATTACGTGTCCTCTCCACTCTCCACTTGACACACAGGTGGACTCTCGCCCTCTGTCACATTCTCCTACAGAGCATATCTAGTGAGTGGCTAGGAAATTCAAGGTAAGCAGAAACAGTCAGCCCTACAAGAGTAACATAGGTATGTAAGAAAGATCCCAGGTACATTGACTTGGACTCAAAAGTTAACTTTAAAACACTTGGCAGAACAGAGCTCTTGTGCTCAATGTTCACTGACATTAGGTTCAGGATTCTGTACAGAGGGACGCATCCTCACCCCTCAGGCACCTTTGAGCCCAAGAGAACATTTTGAGGACCTGGAATCATAGAATATGGTACCCGTGCTCACGCCCTCTTCAAATGGTGCCGACAATTTCAGCAAGTCTATGGATTTCCCAGAGCCTGCCCCTCAATTGCAATTAAGAAAGTCTATTCTCTGTATAAAAGTTCTGATCGTGTGTATCACTTTGACCCAGAAATTTCACCATCTTTTATGTATCCTATGAATAAAATGTCACATGCACAAAAAGACTTAGTGGGAAAACGTCCAATTCAGGACACAGGAGGATGTTCTGTGAAAGTGGGGTCATACGGGGGCACAGACACAGCCTGGAAATCAGCCATCTGAAGGCCTGCCATAAGCCAGGCAGCTCCTCCTGAGCTCCGGGCCTCTACTTTTCCCCCAGGCATCTGAATCTCGTGTTTTCTTTTTCATTATTTACTGTGGTAAAATAACATATCATTTACCACTTGAGCCATTTGTGAGGGGATAGTTCTGTGGCACTGAGCACTTTGAAATTTTGAAGCCGTCCCCTACTATGCCATCTTCAAATCGACACTGTGCACCTGTTAAAGAACACCTGCCCGGTGTAGTCTCCCTTCTGGTCCCTGGCACCCACCATCCTCCCCTCTGTCTCTATGGCTTTGGCTCTTCTGGGTCACTCATTTAAGTGGAATGCTACAAAAGTGGTGTGTGTGTGTGTGCATTTTATTTCATTCAGCACACAGTTGTAGACAGGTTTCCTAATGATGACCCTGAATTCATTGCAACATGTGGCTTATTCTTGGTGCCTATCTAAGCCAAGGGCCTGCCGCCTAAGGAAAAGTTGGTGCATGTAATTTTTCCAGACACCAAAACACTGTGATCCAGGTTGTGGTTTGTGTAATTCGCCTTGCAGTTCTGCCAGTTTTTGATTCATGTTTATTGTGAGGTATGTAAACACTGAAGACTGTTGTATCCTCTTGGTTAATTCACCACTTTCTCGTTGTGAAATGGCCTGTTTTGTCCCTGTTAGTATTCTGACATGGACTTTCTCTGACATTTATAGAGCCTCCCCAGACTTCTTTGGGCATGCTGAATCCCATTCCATCCTTTTACTTTTAGGGTTGCATGTTTCTATTTAAAGTGATTTTCTTGTAGACAGCATATGATTGGGTCTTACCTTTTTATCCAGTCTGACCATTTGTGCCTATTAACTGGGGTGTTGAGACTACTTCCATCTGACACAACTATTGGTGTAACTGGGTAGCTTGTGGTCTGTGGTCTTTGCTGTCTGTCCCATCTTCTTTGTTTCCTTTTTCTCCTCTGTCTTCCTTCCTTTCAGTGCATTGCATTTCTGTGATTCCATTCTGTACCCTTTGTTGGGTTGTTGGCTATAACACTGTTATTTTAAGGGGTGCTTTAAAGTTTATACTATATACCTTTAATAAACCTCTGTGAAAGGTGTATGCAGTTATTTTCCAAAATGGCAGGTTAAGCTGGAGGTGAAGAACATTAGTCACTGTAACTGTATGTTCTGTCTTTCGATTCCCCCTAGTTTGCACACAGGCATCACGTTACACTTTGTAAAGAGATGTTTATTGACTTGATCAGTGTAATACCTAATATAGAAATTCGAAATAACACAGGTGCTTTAACTATTAGTGTAATCATTCTTGTTTTCATTGGAGATGGTTGATGAAATCATTGAGAAATTTCATTCTTGATCAAAGCTCAGGAGGAGCAGAAGGTGCTCACTCGGGGTGGACAGAGAGAGTCCAGAGAACCAGGTAAGCTGGCGCCCATTAGTGTCCTCCTGCATGTTACCAGGATATATAATCCTCCACTGGGACACCAGAAAGTGAAATGAGCATTTGGAAGGCCTATTCATCACGTGCACTACATTAACAGCCTCTTCATCCCGGGTTTTATTCACAGAGTCAGCTGAGGTCTGGTGGTGTGGGATCCAGCTTCCCCGAAGAACAAAGCGGAATCTTTAGGAAAAGTCAGACGCCATTCAAGGTTCCATCTCTCAACTCAATCTTTAGAACAATGGGTTTTTCCGGTTGAATAATTCCTTGATTGCTTAATTTCAAGGGGATCTGCCACACGTAATCAAACATGAGAATCAGTTAATGGAGCCAGCCAAGAACAGAAGCACGTAGGCAAGATACATTAAGGACACAAACATTTAATAAACTACTTTAAGCATCATACATCTTTGATTCTTTTTCTTGAACTATCAGTCAATATCTTTCAAAGATACAGGGACAGTCGGGTTACCTATTTTTCCTTGAGTTAATTTTAATACTTGCAGCTTTCAACAAACTGGTCTATTTAATTTCTGTTATAACATGTATGGACATAAAGTTCTTTGCAGTATTCCCTTATTATCGTTTTGGTTTTACATTTTTTCCACTTTTATTGAGGTATTGACATACAGTAGTGTGCAAACTTCAGGTGTACAGCATTATGATTTCACTTGCATAAATCAAGAAATTATTACCCCAATAAGCTTAGTTAACACAATTATCTCATATAGATACCAAAAAGGAAAAATGGAAAAATGTTTTCCTTGTAGTGAGAATCCTTAGCATCTCCTCTCTTCACACCCCTCACGTGTGCCATGTGGCAGCGTCAGCGACTGTCACCATGTTGTATGTGACATTCCCAGCACTTGTGCATCTTACAACAGGACCACATTTCCCAGCCCCCTCCCTGCTGTAATTCTCTGCACTTATTCTGTGAGCTGTGCCAGGACTGGATGGTGAAAGCTCATCTATCATTCAGTCAACAAATTATCTGTGGAGCAGCTGCTATGTATGTGCAGCTTGATAGAGACACAGTCGTGTTGGCTTGTGGTCTTTTTTGAATTAAATTTTAAGAAAAAGGATGAGTTTTTTTTTTAAATGTAAACCACATTCTTAGGCATTAGGGTAAGCAATTCTGAAAAGCCACATTGAATTGATTTTGTGTATGTTGAAACCTATTGTGTTATCCTATGTGCGAAGTGTACGACACATGGCAGGAGTGTCCTCACTTGTAAAGCCCGGTGGAACCATCCAGTACATGGCTAACGTCATGGGAGGGATTACATGTATTTTCTAACATCTGGTGTCTCCTGAGTATAGGGCAAGTAGTGAACTTGTGAAGAACTGCAGGGTTTGGACTGACACTTTGAGCCCCCTGTTCTCCCATCACTCCTTCATGTGGGGGCCCCATGCAGAGTCACCTTCTAGTCTCTGTGACTTCAGGGCAAGCACAGTATCCTGGGGGGAGAGAAGTGCCTAGCTCTGCATGGCCAGGAGCTTGTGAGAGGACATGCCCATCCCAGGCTCTCAGCGTCCAGGGTTCTGTTTGTCCACATTTACAGGAAAGCCACACAGCTGCACTAAAGCCACAAATGACAGGGAAACCCTGTCCATCCTCCTCTCCCTGAGGGCCTGCATATTAAATACATGACTGTGCCCACACACCCCTCCTTCCTGTCCCCTGGAAACCAAATATAAACTTTGCTCAAGTTCAAAGGCCTGTGCATAATCACATCACAATAACTGCAGGGGCCACAGGTGACCTTTACTACTGGCTGTTTGTAAAGCCACACAGTGCTCCATAGCTGAGGACCCCCAGAGCCATACATGGCTCCAGATAGGTTCTCTGGCCTATGGAGCAAATGGTTCTTTGAATAGAACACATTTCCTTATACAAATATAGACATATATAGACATATTTCTCTTGGTTAAGAAAATCTCCCAATGAACATTATTTGTCCAGTAATTTATCTGTCTGACCTGTGTTTCTTTACAAGGTTTGAAGGAGAAGTTCTGCAGGACTCTGACGATAGCCACTTTCATGTTCAGGAGAGCGAACCTCATGCCGATGCAGTTTCGGGGTCCAGTTCCAAAAGGCAGATATGTGTACGGATTTATGCTGTCCTTGTTCTTCTTACTGAACCTGGACCCACAATAGCAGATGAAGGCAAGTTAGTGAAACATGAGAACAGCAAAGATCCACAGTGGGGATCTCAGGCTCCTCAGCCAGAAGCACATGGGACCATGTTCATGTTGTGGACGAGTCATGAATCCCGCCACGGGCACTTGGGGTGGGAACCCGAGCTACAGCCCCTCCCGTCCCCTTTGGCCTGCAGGGCCTCTCAGTCTCGTTGAAGACATGAGATGAGTGCTGTTAAAAAGAAATTCACCTCTGAACACTAAAATGACATTCAGGGTGGGGAGGTGCTCACACTAGAAAGGCAAGTAGGAAATGAGACTGACTGAAGGAAGGGGGGGTTCCTGCATCTCCTCGACCTGCCTGGCCAGATGGTCATGGAGGACAGAGCAGGAGACAGGCGTCCTATTACTTCAGGTGGTATTGTCCCTTCTCTCCCCTTCCTGCCCCCCTGCTGCTCCTCTGCTCCCCCTCCCCACAGACCCGCTGAAGTCAGGTGATTCCCGTGGGCAGCAGGCTCTGCTCTGCTGCAGTACAATCCCCGATCTCCTTGTCTGTCTGTGTCCTTCAAGGTTAGACCATGAGTTATTCAAATCTCATTCCTCAACATCTGATTATGTTAAGGAAACATGTGGATATGGGGAAAGTGATAATGGCAATGTAGTTATATAATATTTAAAGAGTCATTATTTAGAGAAAATCTGGAATAGGTACAAATGCTGTGCTTTTGACTATTATGGGAATTAGGAGAATAGCCTTGGTGTGTGGGTGGGGAGGCTTCCATGGGTTAATGGTGGCTGGGCAGGCAGTGCGCTCATACAGATGCATTGAAAGTACACCTAGATGTGTCTAGGGAAGTGCTTGTGTATATGTCAGAAATACTTATACTTCAGCCAAAACCCCTCCAATTAGGCATTTTTTGACCATTAGATCTCACTGCCTGACTCTGTCCCTGAAACTCAAGGGTAAGCATTTACTCTGATGCCTGGATGAATGAAAGAGAAGGACAGTAACTTGTCTCTGATTTGTAGTTGTGAAGATGCAGGGTGGTGAAGTGCTGAGCTTGGAGCAAGCGTAGAGGACCCCTGGTCCATAAAAACAACAACTTCTCAACTCTGACATCGTTTTTCAGCAAGTACTACACTATGCTAGCACTAGAGACACCTTGGAAAACAAAATACAGTCCTTCCGCCGTTTCCCAGGATGTTTCCCAGAGTTCATTCCAAATTCTGCTCACCTTCCCAATATGTAGGAAAGCATCAAGTCTATGCAGAACTCAACATGTGCCAAAAGCAGACATTAGTTTTGCATTCTCAGGAGAGCAAGCTCAAGGCCTGTCCAGGGAGGATGTCTCAGTGTCTGAGGAGCATATGACTTCATTTTGGAAGAGTCATGCCATACCAAAGAGGAGGGAGCTGGCACGGGACTGCAGTCACGGGCAGTACCGGGAACCTGTGCCCACCTCCACCCTCATGAAGCTGCTTACCAAGCAGGGAGGATTTCCCGCAGGTCCTCAGCCTGATGTCTGCAATAACTCAAGAGCAAATGGGGGATTGTTGTAAAAAAGATGGTGTAGTAGGATGGCAGGGCAGTAACCACGTCCTACATGCACATGAAGAAAGCTACTACAGCAAATACAACTAATCCTGAAAACTACCTGAAGACTGCAGAACAGACCGTCAACCCTGGGTGAAGAAGAGAAGACCACACAGAGAAGGGTAAAGGCAGAGCATGACCAGGGACCCCAGCTCTTCTCCCATTCCAGCCAACAAGTGGGAGGGAGAGCAAGGGGAAAAGTGCTTGGGAGACCTGCACACATGTTCCTGGAGATCTTTTCTGGCACTGTGAGTGTACATTGCACTGGGCTTTGGTGATTAACAGGGCTGGACTCCACAGAGAGTATGGGCCCTTTGGGAGGTTGAGACTCCTGATGGTTGTGGAGAACAGGCATGTTTCACAGGCCTGCTGAAACCCAAAACAGAGGAGGAAGTTTGAAAGATTTACCAGCAGTGGGAAGTGTGCTGGAAGGGCAGGGATGACAGGAGCTCTCTCCCCAGGGAAGAAGGACAGGTGAATGATACTCTCCCAGCCGTTCTTCCACCCAACTCCTTGGCCTCTTGCAGGAACCACACCCAAATGCTCCACATCCCTTCTTGATGGCTAAGCCCTGAAGCACTTCCATATGCACATGCCCACCCACCTTGGCAGAATGCTCCACACAGCAGCCATTAGTATTTGCTACCTGGCAGGAAGAGTGAGACTTTCTCAGCTTTCCCAGCTCTCTCTAAGCCCAACTGATGAGACTCCTGTGGGATCCATCTCCAAATACAGGGTCCATCACCCTTGTGACTCAGCTTTGTGCCACACTTCCCTGTGCACTTGCTGTGCCTGCACCACTCACCCAGCAGTGGCTGCCATTTGCTGCTTGGCAGGAAGACAGGGGCCCTGCTCATAGTGATCTGTGCAGAAACACTGCACCCCATGCAGTTGGGCACCCTGAGGCAATCTGTCAGCCTTTGCTGGCACAAATCCACCATTGCCAGCATGCAGGCTGAAAGTTTTTCCCACCCAGAGCCCACAATGAGGAACTGTGGCTCCAGTGTAAAGGAAAACCAGGCACTGACGAGAAGAGAGTCCTGAGATTCCTGGCACCAAAGGATGCCATTTCTTTCACGACCAGGAGGCAGAGATGATCTACTTGATACAAAGGAAGGCATACAGCAATGCAGACAAAATGAAGCGGCAGAGGAATATGTTTCAAACAGAAGAACAGAATAAGACACCAGAGAGCAGGCCAAATGGAACAGAGATTACCAGTCTTCTTAATGAAGATTCCATAGTAACAGTCATAAAGATGCTCATTGACTTGTGGAAAACAATTGATGATCTCAGAGAGAACTTCATCAGAGAGGTAGATTTGAAAAATAGCCACACAGAGTTGAAGAATTCAATAACTGAAATGAAAAATACAATAGAAGGAATAAATAGTAGACTTCTGGAAGTAGAGGAGAGAATCAACGAGATGGAAATTAAAGAACAGGAAAGCAATCAGGCTGAAATAAGAGAGGAAAAAGCTTTGCTAAACATGAGAGGATGCTTAGAAGCTGTGCAACAACTCCAAATGAAACAATATTCACATAACAGGGGTCTCAGAAGAAGAAAAAGGGGTAAAAATTCTTTTTGAAGAAAGAATAGCTGAAAACTTCCCCAATATGGGGAAGGAAAGACACCCAGGTCCTAGAAGCATAGAGGGCCCCTAACAAAAGGAACCCCATGGACACAACACCAAGACATACAGTAATTAAAGTGGCAAAGATTAAAGAGAAAGAGAGAATCTTAAGTGCAGCAGGAGAGAGGCAGATAGTTACCTGTGAGGGAAACTCCATAAGACTATCAGTAGATTCCTCAGCGGAAACTTTACAGGTCAGAAGGGAGTGGCATGAAATATTTAATATATTGAAAGAGAAGAACCTACAACCAAGAATCCTCTACCCAGCAAGATTACCATTCAGAATTGAAGGGGAGATTAAACATTTCCCAGATAAACTAAGGTTAAATGAATTCCTGAACACTAAACTGGTCTTACAAGACATGTAAAGGGACTTCTGTAGCTGGAAATATTCTTAAGCCTAAATATTTTTCATCAATGAAACAAACCTACAGTAAAAGTAGCAGGCCAGTTACTTACCGAGCAAGTGTGAAGTTAAACACAAAAGTAGTAAAATCAACTATATGCAAAATCAGTCATGGGATACACAAGAGATGTGGATTATGACACACACAAAGTGTGGAGGAGGAAAAGTACAAAAGGAGTACTTTCAGATTGTGCTAGAAACAGAGTGACCATCAACTTAATATAAACTTATATATTTAGGAAAAAGCCTATGAACCTTATGGTAACTGCAAACCCAAAGCATATAACAGATACACAAAAATGAAAAAAGGAAACCCAAGCAGAACAGTATTAAAAACCATCAAATAGTAAGACATGAGATAAGAGAGGAAGACCAGAACAGAGAAACTACAAAACCAACCAGAAAACAGTTAATAAAATGGTAACAAGTACATATCTATCCATAATTGCCTTAAATGTAATTGGACTAGATACACCAATCAAAAGACATAGGGTAGCAGAACAAATAAAGACACAAGGCCCATCTATATGCTGCCTAAAGGACATTCATTTCAGACCTAAAGACATACACAGACTGAAAGTGAGGGGATGGAAAAAAAGATATTTCATGCAAATAAAGAGAAAAAAAGAAGGGGTGGCAGTAATTTTATCAGACAAAGTAGACTTCAAAACAAAGAAGGTAACAAGAGACAAAGAAGGACATTCCACAAATATAAAGTGATCAGTCCAACAAGAGGATATAATGATTGTAAATATCTATGTACTCAACATAGGAGCATCTAAATATATAAAACAAATATGAACAGACCTAAAGGGAAACTAACAGCAACACAATCATATTAAGAGACCTTAACATTCCACTTACATCAGTGAACAGATCACCCAGACAGAAAATAAATAAGGAAACAGAGATGTTGAACAACACATTAGACCAGATGGACTTAACAGGTATATACAGTTCTTTCTGCTGCAAAGCAGCAGCATACACATTTTTCTCAAGTGCACATGGAATGTGCTCCAGAATAGATCACATATTAGGACACAAAAACAGTCTCAATAAATTCAAAGATATTGAAATTGTATGAAGCATCTTTTCAGATAACAGTGGTATGAAACTAGAAATCAAATACACAAAGAAACCAAAAGAAAGCACATACACACAGAGGATAAATAATCAGTGGATCAGTGAACAAATCAAAGAAGAAATCAAGCAATGCATGAAGACAAATGGGAACAAAATACGTCAGTTCCAAGTATGTGGATGCTGCAAAAGCAGTTCTAAGAAGAAAGTATGTTGCAATACAGGCTTACCTCAAGAAAGAGGAACAATCCAAAATAAACAGTCTAAGTGCACAACTAAGTAAACTAGAAA